GCACTCTGGGAGGGGGAGCTGGGGCGGGGCGGGGGTGGGGGACGGACCCGTCCCTCTCGCCTCCTGTAACCGTGGTTTAGCCCTCCCCAGGTAATTGTGCATGGAAATGGATTCCCATTTCTCTGCTCAATCGTCCTGTTTCCTGTCACAGCCGAGCGTTTTGCATGTGCAATTACCCGTCCCCGCACATATCCACGGGCACGCTCAGGTGTCGCCTGCCAGCCTCCGGCGGCCGCTGTGCAGCCACGTCGCGCCGCGTTTGGGCTGTGATAGCAGTCAGGCAGAAGCCATTTTCCATATGAAGCTGCAGGACCTATGGGATAAATAAATGGGTTGGAAAGCCAAGCAGTGTAATGAGTTAATTTAAAACCTGCCTTCTCTTCTTGTATGTTAATTTACTTGGCGTTATGTTTAATCTTTCATTTACTGGAGTTACACTGATTTCTTTCTCCCCTTCCCCCTCTGGCAGCTCCCTGGGATGTTCTGCCTTCGGCAGGAGCAGAAGGAAGCTAAGCCAGGGCTGGAGAAAGTGGATCAGACCTGGGCCAAAAGGACCTGCTGGGTCCCACAGGACCCATGACCTCTCAGGTTTCTGTTCTTGAGGATGCCCAGCAGGCAGGTGTGCACTGAATTCCCTGCAGTGGAAGGGAGACCACCACTGGGTATCCATGCTGCTGTTCCCAGGGTGCTAATCACTGTAACTAACTGGGAGGGTGGCCCGGAGAATTAATCAGCTCTAATCAGGACAATTGGAGCTGACAAGGCAGCAAGAAGTGGGAGCAAAAGACTGGGTGGAGGAGCTGAAATTTGGCTGGGGATGATCCTGCTGGAGCATCCACCACTCTGCTCCTGTCCTCCTACCAGCAGCCACAAAGCCTCGGGTGTGAGTGGATGGCACTTCACATAAGCACCTCTCTGAAGGGCACAGGAGGCCAGCACAATGAATAAAAGGTTGCTGCAGCCAGGGAAAGCAGGAGAGAGGCGGCAGCAGCAGCTCTGTGGTGAGAGGGAACAAGTGAACACAGGTCCTGGGCTTTGTGTCACCCCATGATCAGGCTGTGATGCAGCCTTGTGACCGTGGCTGGTCTGGATCCCCACCATGTTGTCTGCTGGTCCAGCTGAAGAGAAACTCAAGGGTCGATATTGCAGGCAGTGGGAAGTGTGGAGGGAAGAAGAGGGGAGGGAGGGAGGGAGGGAAGGAGCAGCAGACAGGGCTTGGCAGGGCTCACCAGCAACCGGATGATGCTGCAGCAGTGAGTAGCAGAAAGTGTGGCAGGCACGTCCAATGGCATCAGGACACTTCACTGGACTATCCCAGGCCATTCCCATCACCTGTCTCTGAGGGGGATTAGCTTACACTGTTTCTTAGAAGGACTGATGGATGGTCTGAAAGAAAGAGAGACCATCGTGGAGTTTATTTAAGATAGGCCAGCCTGACAAACTGTACCTGAGGCCATCATGGCAGAGTAGGCTAATACCAGAGAGAGGAAGATGGATGCAGGGCCCTAGGGCTGCATCCAGCCCATGCAGCAGGGGTCACAGTCAAGAGGTTTGATCTGTGCCCACTGCCTCTTCTGTGTGGGGGGAGCATGAAGAGCATCACAGCAGCTGTTGCTTGGAACATCCCCCTCCCTCCCCTCTTGCTAATGAATGTAGGTGAAACTTGCTGTGCCATGACTTTAATCAGCAAAGAAAACTGCAAAGGCTCTTTTTTTCCCCTTTCCCCACCTGCTGAATTCAGCACTGAATGCGAATTAGGTGGCGTTTGGGCTTGGCTGTGTGCCCGCTTCCCGAGCTAACGCAGGGAGCCAGACTCTCCTGCACCTCGAGCCTCTCAGGCTAATCCAAGGAGGGCCTAGATCAGCCCCTGGCATTTCACACTGTGTGCAGCAGCCCTTGGAGCTTAAAGGCTGCTTGCCACCAGCTCAGCCCATGCAGCTCCTCTGAGCATCCACCGATAAGATCACCCCGTGCCAGGGAGCGGGACTGGCCCTTGGCACCCATGGGTGTCTGGGCAGAGTGGCTTCAGCAAAGACATGCCTTGGGAGCCAAGCCCACAGCTCTGGGGAGCATGTGGTTGCATTATCCAATGGCTGATGTAGTCAGCAGCAATGGGCAGCCCCAGGAAGGGCTGCAGGAATCAGAATCCTGGAGCTCTGCCTGTGTGGGGTGCTGGAGAAGCACCCCGGGGCTCACACCTGTGGGTCTGTGAGCATAGCAGGAGTAATTTGCGGCTCCATTAGCACTGGGAGTCAGTATAGCAGCCCTGCAGTGTGCCCATTTGATAAGAGGCAAGTTCCACTGAATAATGAGCAGTAATTGGATTTCAGGGTTAACCAGCTTGCAGCAAAAATAGAAAAGAGCAGAGAGCCATTGGATATTTCTGTTCTGGCTCATCAGACACTGGAGGTTTATCTCTGCTGAGAATAGCACAGGAGAGGTAAAGTTATTAGTGACCATCGGAGCATGGTGATACCATCTTCCTCTTGTGTTTAGGAATGAGTCTGTGCATCCTCTGAGTTTCGTTTAAGGCTATGGAAGTTTATAACCCCTCCATGGGAGAGTTCCATAAGTATCCCATTGCAGTGCAGCAGAGAAGAGAGAAACCAGCTCTCCTTAGTGCTCAGGAGCACCTGACCTCCCTGCCGCTGACCAGAGGCAGAAGGCAAGGTCTCCTGCCAGTGTCACCTCATCCAGATGACAATCTGGCACGGGAAAGGCCAGCAGATGTTCAGCACCACCGTGCTTGGAGCTGTGGTTGCCTCCTTTGGGATGGCATCAGTGGAGGTGGAGCAGTCCCAAGCACTGGCCCATCTTCCAGCAAGATGAATTTGTGCTGCAAGTGGTGTGGAGAAGGGCCAGTAGCCTGGTGGGGGAATGGAGAGCCTGTCTTTTGAGGCTGAAAGCACTTGGCTTGTTTAGTCCAGCAAAGGAAGGCGAAGCAGGAATATGATTACCCTCCATAAATATATGCAGCAAATAAACACCAGGTACAAAAAGGAACCATTTAAGCTGAAAGACTGTGCTGGCATAAGAACAAATGTGCTTAAACTGGCTAATGTAAGCTGGGAATTAGGAGACAATTTTTAACCATGGGAGCTGCAAGACAGTTTTTAGCCATGGGAAGCAGGAGGAAACATACCTCATTGCTTTTGCAAATGGAGCTGGACCCGCATGTGAAGGGAGCAGAAAGTGGGCTGCCTGCAACTGCAGGGGTCTGGAGTGGGAGCCAGCACTGGAGTGCCACTCCAGGCTCCTTCCAGGATAGCTGGGTGCATGGTGTGCTGCCAGCATCTCCACAGGTCCTCATTTTCCCAAGGCAGGAAGCACTGTTCCCATAGGTGGGACCTGCTGACAACCAGCCTTCCTCTGTTCAGGGACTTGCAGGTACCCAGCACTTGGGACAGACCCCCCAAACTGCTGGGGGTGGAATGGGCAGTGAACCAAAGGTGGCCGGTGTCAGCCACCAGCCTGGAAGGTACCACAGGAGCAAAAGCTTCCACCTGAGCAGGGCTGCTCACAGCACCTGGATTTGGGCTGGCAACCTGCTGCTGTCACTGCTTGTTCTGGATTTTCTCTGGGAATGGCACACACCTGGGCCACCAACTCCAGATTTTACCTCGTGCATCAAATTATTCTCAATTCTCTTTATATTCCAGGGCCTGCCTAAAGGATGGGTGAAGAATCTGCTGATGAGGACTCTAATCAGTTTTGAGAGCAGGTAATTTCTCAGCTAGAGATCATCTCCAAACAGGAAATCAGATTCAGGAGATAGCTGCTTTATATAGCACATCATGGTGGACTAGAGCAAAGCTTGTGTTAATAAGCAGAGCTGGAATAAGAAGATCATTACTAACATTATTAATTAATTGCTTTACAATCCTCCTACCAAGTGGGCTTTCCTATCTCATTTATCTCTAGTGTGAATGTAACAGGAATAATTCTAGACCCAATCCTGATATCTGGGCAGGTTTATTTTGTGATGTATCTCCTTCCTGAAACTGGAGGAAAGATGTTCGCTGCCTTCAGCGTGTTTTGAGTTCTGGCAGCGTGCCTGGGATCGTAGTAAGACACAAAAGCATCTGATGGAAGCGGCCACTGGATGGAGCCTTAAAGGTCATAACAATCCCCGGCTCCAGTACAGATGGTGTTCACTGATGAAAAACATCGAGAGGGAAAGCAGTGAGCATCGGGACTGAGGGATGCTGCAGAGCTGGGCTGGGCTGGGCTGGGCAGCGGTGCCCAAACTCACCGCCCTGATCCCAGCTCCAGACACTTGAGCGAGCTGCCAGCGCCTCTGCCCGCTCCTGCCCCCAGGTCCTGCCCTCGCTGTGGTGGCTGCAGATTCCTCGGGGCAGGCATGCACTCGCTCCCGGGGTTGCTCTAAAACACCTCACCAAACACATTGCTTCATTCCGGCAAGACAAACAGAGATAAAGTGACTGCGTGAAGAGAATTCCAGTTTTGATTAAAACCCACAGACCTGTAAGCCTCGGCTCCCTCTTGAATAAGGATGAGGATAATATTGGCAGGAGAAAATGAAAACAGCTGATGATATCTGAAGCAGAAGCGTGGCAGTGTGTCAGCTTTGGGAAAGGGGCTCACAGCTCTCTCCTGGACAGGGTCTGGCGTGCCGAGCCTTTGGCGGCTCTGCTCCCTGCAGCCCTGGAAAAGGGGTAAGGCAAACCAAGCCAGTGGGATAAGGATTTTATGGATGAATGAATGAACATGCTCACTAAAAGGGGGCCTGCCGAGAGGGCGAGGGCCATCAGTGCATCCAGCTGTTGGAACTCATCGTCATCGCCCACCCAGCACTCCAGGGAGCCCGGGGGGGTGATGGTGAGCCACGAGGGGTGCGGCGCATCTTGGAAGGGCTGTCAAACAACACGTTGTCCCCGTGCTGGCTGTGCAGGCGCTCTCCCTTTAAAGCAGTCCCGGGGTCGGGAGCGGGGAGGAGGCGGAGGCGGGCGGGGGGCGCGGCGCCTCGGAACGGCGGCGGCTGCTGCGGGAGGGACCGGGCGCCGCGGCGGCGAGCGGAGCCCGGCAGCAGCCGCCAGCCCCGGGGTATGCGGATAAGCGGGAGAGGAGCGCGGAGGAAGGCGAAGAGCGGCGGGGAGCGGGGCGAGGGAGCCCGGCCGAGCCCTCCCGAGCGGCGGAGGATGCGCCGAGCCCCGGGGAGCCGAACCCAGCTGCAGCGCGGCGCGTCCCTCCCGGCCGCCGCCCAAGCCCGCGGAGGTAACGGCGGCGGAGGGGCTCGGGGGCACCGGGATGGGGCTGGGGAGGGAGAATATCCATCTCCCCGGAGGCACGGGGGACATCCGTGGTCCCTGGGGTCCTGCGGCTCTGCAGCGCATCACTCAGCAAGTGGCACTTGCTCCCTCCGCAGCGGGGCTGGGATGAGGGAAGGGTTCCCCCGCGGAGTGAATGGCTCCCTGGAGGCAAAGAGCTGGGGCAGAGGTGGGGTCGCCGTGCCCTGGGCCCCCCTTCCTTCCCACATTGCCTGAGGGGCTGGAGGCCCAGCTCGGAGTAATGGCAGATGCTCAGCGCCAACCTCAAAACCGCCCCGATCGAAGCTCGGCTGTGAGGTTGGATGCATCCAGTAACCTCAGGCAGCTGGCGTGGGAGATGGGCAGTGCGTGGCATGGGGTGACAGGTTCCCATCTTGCCACCTGCTCCCTGAAATTGGCCAACTTTGGGCTGACACTGTGGGGCACCTGGCACCCAGTACTGCCGGTGGCTGGGGGAGCAATGGGAGCCAATCCTTGCTTGTACTCGAGCTAGAGGAGATGAGAAGGGTACCTGGATACCAGAGCTGTATCACTAGGGACTGATGGCTTCATGACGGATGATACCTCAGGTTTAGCAACAACAGGAGTCCAGTTTGATCTCAGACACTTGGTTTCCAGCTCTTTCTTCACCAGATGATCTGCCTGGCTAGGGAAGTTGCTTGTGTGCCTCTTACATCTTGTTCAACTCCCCTGTTAAGTTAGGGAAAATTGCCAGGCTGGCCCCCTGCTCCCCTGCCCATGTCTCTGTTGAGACTCATCTCAGTTCCTTGAGTTGTGCAGCAGCAACCCTCCACAACAGCAACCGGAGGGACCCAGGGCTCTCCTTTTATCTGCTGTGCTGCTAACAGAGGAGAGAGAGAGGTTTAATTATCCTCAAGTGTCAGTTCAAGATAGATCTGCTGGGACACAGCTCTTGGCAGGTGCGAAATAACAGGACGTTTTCATGCATGGGAGGCTGAGCTGGGAACAGTTCAGTGGTTTAATTGGAAAGGTTCATATCAGGGTACAGATAATGGGATGGTGCAGGCTCCAGCAGTGATCCTGGTGCTGCAGCTGTGGGAAGGGAAGATGGATGTCGAAGGCTGAGAACTTTCTCTGGTGCATTGTTTTGGGGGCTCACAGCAGAGTGTGTGCTCTGGGCTGGTAGCACAATCTCATGTCAGTGCCGTCCTCTGAGGGGCTGATGAGTTTTCAGCCTGGCTTTGTTTCTGTTCAGCTTTTCAGTCAATTCCCCAGAGAGTCCTTGTGGAGCCATTAGGAGACATGCCCTGTTTCATGGGGCATCCGGAAGCAAAAAATGAGGGAATTACTCCAGAATCAGAGCACTCTGGAGCTGTCTTTTAGGCATGTATGGTGGGATGGCCTCAGGGATTATCAAACAGCTTCTCCTTCCTCCTCCTGCCAAAATCCCTGAAACGGTTTACAGAAGCTCTCAAGCTAATCAATTGAAGAGTTTCAGTTCATTGACTCCACGCAGAAAAGCCCCTTCCCTCTCTAAATGGCTGGGAGTTTGGCTTCCATGGAGAATGTCCCTACCCTGCCTGGGCTGCAGAACTGGGATGCGTGGGGCATCTGTCTCCTCATCTCCTGTCCCATCCACAACGTGGTTGTTGGCCCCTGGATCCAGATTTGGACCAGAGAGCAGAATCTCCTCCAGCTGTAGCACTGCACCACGGCCATATCGCTATCACAAAATGAGTCCTCTCTTTGTCCAGACCCTGTAACATCCTGGTCTGGGACCCTCCAGTGGGAGGAAAAAGGACATAATATTTTATTTTATTGTTCATCCAAATATGCCAAGCTCTTCTCTGTCCTCATTCCCAGGGGACCATGGGACGTAGGTTGTCAAGAAACAGTGCCCCCATCCCTGCTGGCTTGTTGGAGGGGCTGCGGTACGAGGACCTAGTGCCGCTGCTTTTCTGGGTGAAGTCACAGTGTTGTGTTATTGTAGTTATGTTTCTTGATTTAGGGTCCAAGATAATGACTTAGCTGTACTTCATTTCAGCACTGGATGTAACAAGCCAGCCCTCATGCAGTTCCTACCAGCACGAAACAGCAGCTGGCGTTAGAGGTCTGGGGTCGGTCCTGTCTCATCTATACTGATCATGTTCTAGCCCCTCTTGCTAATCTCTGGTGTCTTTTCTAACACGGTAAGAGGACAGTCAGTAAACATCTTTGTCAGATGATGAGTTTTGTAGATGCGCAGAGATGGTGTTTTTGGGAAGACCCAGTTATTAAACATCATTTTGTCACCGTCTCCTTCCCACTTGTGCTTGGTGAACGCTGCCATTTGCTTGTAGCTGTGCTCCGGTCCTGCCAAAGTCACACCCTCCTTTGCAAATCTGCATCAGTGAAACTTGTAGGCTGTTGTTTGGGTGCAAACCTTGTGGATGCTCCTGGTGCTCACTGCTGTGGCCTCCATGGTGCTGGTCCTGATGCAGGAGAGCTGCGTATCTGGCCAGGGGTGACTTGAGGGACGACATCTCTGAGAGGAGGCTTTCTGTCTCTTGCTGTAGTTAGCTGTGCCTGAGTGTCTGACAAAGGCATTTTGGAGATATGATTGAGGAGCAGAGGCTTGTCCTCACTTCTCCTTGGAGATCAGGCATCTGGGAAATGGGCTGGACCAAGTGAGAGCAGAACCCTCACTCACTTCAGTTGCAACAGTCTTTTGGTGCCACTTGTGACAGGAGCAAATTTAGGCTTGATGTATATCCCCCACCTTCACTTTGGGCTTTGGATCAAGGCGTAAGAGCTTTTGACATGCACACAATAAGGGAGGGGGGGGGGAAATTAACACCACAATCCTCAAAATGTTTGCAAATCCAAGAGCTTATCCTCACCATGGGCAGGCAAAACCAACCAAGGGTAGGATCAGTAAATCACAGAATCATCCACTTTCATCATCAAACATGAGGCAGCTGGGAGTGCAGCTGGCACGGAGCATCATACCCACACTGAGACCTTGTGGAGATGCTCGGGATCTGGCACCATGGGTTTTCCCTTTAATACCATTGCAGCAAGCAGCTTGGGAATCAGCAGGGTTCCCAGCTATATGTGGATGGTGTTGGGCTTCAGATGGGTGTGATTAAGAAAACAAGGCTGCTTGGGGTACCAAAGGCACCCACTAAATGAACCCCTTGCTGGGGTTGTACAAGGACTGATTCGGGACCAAATGGGCTGAGTCAATGCAAGCCCCCACCTTTGTTAAAGGGATCTGATAACTTCAGCCAATAACTGAAGTGCTAAGGATGGAGAACCCCCACACTTTTAGCCTGCAAAGCTAAGAACATCCCATATGGAGATCAGCACATTACTGCCTACAATAATAACGGTAAAAGGGTTGTCTGTACATCATCCCATTGCTTTAGCCACTCTCCTACGTCCACTTGCCACCAAAGCCCACCTCCAGTGAGGCCAGTCCATGCTGCTGGTGAGCAGAGGCCATCCTTTCTTCATGCTTGGGAGAGCAGTGGAGAGGTGGAGTTGTATGGTGAGATGTGAAGGGATCAGGCTGTCCTGGCACATCACCATCAGTGGTGCAGGACACCTCGAGGCAACCACTGCTGAAGCTCACTGGATATGGAACATGTGTTGGCAGCAGTGGGGAGAAGATGGACTGGCATCTGGCCTTCAGATCTGTCCTTCTGCCATCCCCAGAGCAAACTTGGATCCGGCAGCAGTAGGGCAGGTGGCGTCTCCCTCGCCTGCACTTATGTTGAGCCAGGCTGGTGTGTACTCTGAGGGCAGCAGCCAGTGAACCAGGACAGCACATCTCTTGGTAAAGTCAGCAGGGACTCAGAAACCCAACCCACAGGGAGCACTGCAAATCTGAAAGCTTTTTCCAGAGTGTTTGGATCAGGGATGTCAGCTGGAGCGGCAGCATCTCCCGAGCACCCCAGTGGTGTTGGAGTCTGGGGTCAGGCCAGTCCATCTGGAGTTTTCATGGCATTATCTCTTAAATGCCTTTAACTGCAATAGGATGCCCTGACTGATTGGATTGTGCTCTGTAATTAATTAGCTGGGTGCACTGTATGGGAAACGGCATCAGTGGGAAGAGAGGGGGGAATCTGCCAGCAAGAGCTGTTAAGCCTCAAATGTCCATTTCTCATTAAACCAGCCGTGGGTAGTGTTAGTTCCTGGGCACAGGGGGTTAGTTACAGTGTCCTGGCCCTTTCCCATGTGAGGAATTGTGGTTTTGCTGCCTGACCATTCCCCCAGAGCCTGTGTCCTGCACCCCAACCAACCCACCTGGCCTTGGAGTCCACTGGAAGGGAAGAGCTTGTTTGGGCTGTGGCGTACCAGGGTGGTGAGGGGGTACCCCCTCTTGCCTGCAAGGGAGGTAGGAAGGCTCCAGGGGGTTAAGGGCTGCTGGGCATGGCTGGCACAAATCCTGCTGTTCTTCCCTCCCTCACCAGAGCCCATGGCCTTCTCCCCACTCCCCTCCTGCTCCCAAACCTGCCGTGCCCCTGCCTGGGCTCCTTTGATTACTTTTAGCATCCATTTGTGCCTTTAAACAGATAGCATCCAGCTTAGGGTAGGTTTTTTCCTTTGTGTTTACTGTGAGGATTAATCAGGAGCTGCAGTGTAAGGGAAACCTGCAATGGCTCCTTGTTTATTGTTTGATTTGGGAAATGCTTCTGGGCTGGGCTCGTGTTTCAGTTCTGTACTGTTTTTTAAGGGGAGTGTTTTGGGAGGAGGAGTGTCCCTGTGTGCCCCAGGCAAGGGTATCTCCCTTTGGGCCTGCAGTTGCCCCCTCTCTCACTGAATGCTGTGTGGGTGGAGGAGAGAGGGCTTTTCTTGGGGTGCCTCCTCTGTGAAGTGAGACCTGTTTTCTGCTCAGATGCTCTGACCAATCCATCCAACACCCGCGGCTCCATCCGCAGCTCCCACCTTCCTCCGGTGCCTGTTTGGGGTGACCTGGAATGCTTGCTGCTAACAGGTACCTCT